ATTATTGTTGTTATTATTATTATTATTACTATTTATTATTATTATTATTGTTATTATTTCCCCTTCCCAAGTGAAATAATCTAGCAGCATCTCTGTGGTGGCAGATGCTAAAAGCTGCCCCTGCAGCCCCTGCCACGTGGCAGAGCAGCTTGCGGTTGGCACGCTCTTCATCAGCAGAAGGAACCTTCTCCTTTTCTAATACAATTTGGTCATGTTTTTAATCCATTGTAAATAGAGACATTGTTAATTTTAACAATATGGTTCTGCTTGAATTTATTATGTTCTCAAAACTGCTGCCTGTGGTTTTGGGGTTTTATTTCATTTAAATCAGCTTTATCACCAATTGAGGTCTCATGGGGGAAGTTCGTTTTGGCATCTTCCAGCATAAAAATTAGTTAGGTTGGAAATAACTTATTATGTGTTGCTCTGGACATGCCTTTAACACGAACTTTCCTTGTATTGACAGAACAGCAACGGGTCATGCTGCTCAGTCGGTCTCCTTCAGGCCCCAAGAAGTATTTCCCTATTCCAGTAGAAAACCTTGAAGAGGAGATACGGATGCGATCAGCAGATGAAGGGAAGCTCTTCCGGGAGGAATTCAATGTAAGTTCTCATGCGTGGAGTGAAAATGGGGGCAAATGCAGACATCTGCAAATATTAATAACTCTTGTAAGAGTATTTGGTGCGTGAAAGCCTTGGCTTTCATATATGCTCTATTGTGTGTGGTGACCCTTTATCTGGACAAAATCCGTTAATGTTGACTGCTTTATGATATGGTGCTGCCACATGGGTGATATATAAGTTGTTTGACACTTGCTAATGTTGAAAGAAGATCTTTAGTGTTTGCCTGAAGCTGGAGGAGAGGAAAATAGAATATGACTGTCTTTAACATTGATATTCTCAATGGTGGTGGAGGGTTTTTTGGAAGTCTGAGTATTTCACTTCTGTGGGAAGTACTTAGAGGAGAAGACACATTGTGGCCTTTAATATCGCTATAGTGAGGTTTGACTTTTTTTGGGGGGATAATTTGACCTTTTGCTCTTTGTTACCATCCCATCACTTCCCTCTTTGCAGCACCCTGTGCCCTAGCACATACATTTCTATGAAGTATCTCAACTTTAAGGTTTTTCCCTTTAATGTGTTGCCTTGGTCAGAAAGGAGGTTTCATTTTCTGCCCATAACCTGAGCTTCAGCCTCATGTGGTCATATGAATGAGTCGGAACTGAAGCCTGTGAGCTGCTGCAGGGCCAGTTTTGGTGGAGAAATACAGTGCGATGAGTCTGTTCTCACATGTCTGCATTTGGGGCCCTTTCCGTGCTTTTTATTATTTCTGTTCACTTCCCATCACAGCAGAAGCAAGTAGCTTAAATGTCAAATCTGGAGTTGTCAAAGAGCCGATGCACGCATTGATTAGACAGTCTGTTAAGTTACCTTCTTAATTGGTGACATAGTTCTATCTGCAATTTGTTTGATGATATATTTAAAACACACAATTTCGGTGCCGTATCAGAGAGGGGGAATTGTGGAGATACTTACCAGAGTTGACAAAATGAATGTGAAAACTCATTTGATGAGATGTGCGTGTGAGTTTTGACTCTCTGATTAATTCGTTCTGTAGGAGCCAAACAAACCATCTATTTTCATATTTAAAACCTGCTTTACTTGGATCGTTTTCTGCACCATGCGGTGTGTGAGTTTATGACTGAAAACTGGGGGTCCAGTCCCCATAAATAAGCAGTCCAAGCAGTGATGGTACGTGAAGTCTGCTCAATGCTTTATGTGGGTTCATCTGTCCCTGCTCTCTCTCCTATGGCTGCCTACGTGGATGTGTGAGCTGTTTCCTCAATCCTGAGAGGGGAAGAAAGGGTGAAAGAGTTGGAAATCAGAATGATTGATATTGTAGCATAAACCCGGAGAGGTGACAAACAGAAGTCAGTTATTGCACTGGATGGAAAGGGGCTGAGAGATCAAGAGCCATCAGCAGAGACATCTGTGTGATAACATCGCCTTCAGAGCATCCCCCAGAGCTCAGCTCCATCCTTCCACCAGCTGAGGTTACACCTCTATCTGCCCCTTGAAGCCACAGGTGCCAAATCCTGCAGGGTTTTGGTGGTCCAAAGCTGTCCCCTTTGCACTAGGTGCTGGGCAGGAGGTGCTGAGCTGTGGTGGACCCTGACTGCAGCCCTGGGCTGGGGATGCTCAGCTGATGGGGATGTGTTGGGGGATCTCTGCCTGCCGTGGTCTTTGCTTCACACAGCCCGATCTAACATGTCAGGGGGTCGGGTGTCTCTGGGAATGCAGGCACAGGGTGTCCATGGGGAATTTCAAGCAGATTTAGCTGGAAATGGTGAGTCCGTGAGCCAGCAGTGCCCAGGCACGTGCACAGGCCACGGAAGTTTGGTCCCAAGTGGTTTTCTGGTGAAAAGGAAAACAAAGGAAGTGCTGATAGATGAAGACATGCAGCAGATAGAAAGGATCTTTGAGGACAGCTCTCTTATGTGCCTAATGGTGTTCTTCAATACTTCTGATTTTATCCAGAAAGCCTAAATTACCCTTGAGAAGTAAATTGCACTTCTTGCACTTGTGCACTGACCAAGATAGCAAAGGCTCCTTCTACTCTCAGTTGCTTCATTTTTAATTACTTGATTCCTTTGTGAACACAGAGCACAGGGAAAATGGTGTTCTTTCTTCACAGGGAAAAGAGAAAATAGTACTAAAACCTACATATTCCTTTCTGTGTGGGCCCTTCCCTCTATTTACCATCCATACTGCAAGATGAGCTGGATGGTGGCTGTTTGTGGTGGTTCCTTGCTGCCTTGATGTCAGATGAATGTCTGAAAATCCTTCCTGTAAGAAGCTGCTTTTGAAGTCATACTTTTGACTTGGTTGAGATGTCCCCGTGGCTCGCTCTGAGAAAGAGGGGGAAATGTGCTGATGCTGGGGGAGATTAAGCCCCTCGAAAGCTTCAGGGAGACTTAAGGTTTCCTGTAAAGTGGGAGCAGATACGACTGGCAGCAGATGACCCAGTGCCACCAAGACTCATCAGCTCCTCGTGATTCGTGGCGTGATGGAGAGGACATGATGAAGCACATCCTCGATGAATTGCATCCTCTGCTCTGGAGAGAGGTGGGAGCAGCCAAACAGGCTGGGTCCTTGCACTGGGGTTCAACACCTAATCCAGGTTGTGCAACGTTGAGTTTTCTAGGGAGACATCAGGCCTTTGCAGGATTAAGCAGCAGGGAATGCTCCTTGTCGAATCCCAGCCTGGTTTGTGCTGGAAGGGACCTTAAAGCTCCTCCAGCTCCAACCCCTGCCCCGGGCAGGGACACCTTCCACTACAGCAGGTTGCTCCAAGCCCCTGTGTCCAACCTGGCCTTGAACACTGCCAGGGATGGGGCAGCCACAGCTTCTCTGGGCACCCTGTGCCAGCGCCTCAGCACCCTCACAGGGAAGAGCTTCTGCCTTAGATCTGTCCTGAACGTCCCCTGTTTATTCCAGAGGTTTTCTGTTACTTTGCAAGAGATAATTCCTTTTCATGCATTTTCCACGTGAAGATGCAGAACTTATCTGCCTCTTTATTGGGAATTTGTTGCCTGGATTTTGAAAGTGGAAGGATTCGTGTTTGAAGTGCTGATGATGTTGGCTTATGCAAAATGTAAATTAAGTTTCTGTGTTTTATAAATCATAAATGTATTTTTAATTAGCAAAATTCTGGGCTTCATTCAAATAAGGAATGAAGCAGTTTGCTAAGAGCAGCTTTCATTTTCCGCTCTTTATTCAATGTCCTCTCCCCTTTCTTTTACTTATATTCATCAGTTAAAGTGATATTTAACAAACCAAACCCCAAAATGCAGGTTGCTGTTTCCTCTGTAGTGATGGAGAAGTCCTTCCCGTACCCTCCCTTTCGTGTTATGCCACCCTGACAACACGGGTTGCTGCTTTTAAGGGGAAATTCCAAGCCCAGCTCTCTGCCAGGCACGCAGGGGTAGTTGCTTTAAGCTCTACAGTTGCTGACTATTGTTTTCCCTTCCCCTGTGTGATTCAGACTGGGTGGTGGGAGGTAGAAGAAGGGGGGGAGAAAGTGGTTGTGCATTCCCAAACCGCTGGGATTTTACCCTGGTGGGATCCAACACGCTGACACTGGGTTATTTAGGAGTTCAGTACAAGAAACTTAATGAAACACAATTCTCATCACACCATTTGCAGGGAGGGGGCAGCTAAAAGCACAGGACAGGAGCCTTGTGCCGTGTCTCTTGATGAACGGTGTGTATCTGGCTCTCCCCTTGCCCCAGCCTCTCTGCCACAGCTCAGTGGTGGTGTTTCCACAGCTTCTGTCACTGTGGTGGAGGGGCTCCACCTCGAGCACTTCCTTGTTTTTATCTTCATAGAATCATAGAATGGTTTGGGTTGGAAGGGACCTTGAAAGCTCATCTAGTCCAACCCTGCAATAAGCAGGGACACCTTCCACTAGATCAGGTTGTGCACAACCACATCCAGCCTGGCTTTGAATGTCTCCAGGGTTGGTGCATCCACCACTGCTCTGGGCAGCCTGTGCCAGTGTTCTACCACCCGCACTGTAGAAACTTTCTTCCTCACATCCACCCTGAATGTCCCCTCTTTTAGCTTAAAACCATCACCCCTCACCCTCTTCCTCTCCATTTCTTCCTTTCATTTGATTGCTCTGCAAGACTGTTGGGTTTTGTTGTTGTTGTTTGGGGTTTTTTTGAGCTTGACTAAATTTATCTGCAGCCTCAGATCTTGCTGATCCCTTGCAGAATTTGACGTGTGCTCGTACAGCAACTTCCCGCATGAAAGCACTGTGATTTATGTTCTATTTCCTCCCTTTCTACCAGCGCTGGGCCCTCACCTGTGGATCTCAGCAAGGTGTTTGATGCTGAACGTTCTGAGCAGCGAGCTATTAACAATCAAACTGGATTTATATTGTTGAACCAACTGTTGTGGCTAAAAGTAGGAGCGGAGCGCGACGGAGCGTCACATCCACGCGCTGGGTCACGGCGCTGTGAATCACCGCGGCAGATGGCAGCTCCATTTCCTAAATAACTCTGATCTCGGGGGGGAAAAATTACTTCTTTCTCCAAAACTGCTGAACTCGTTCTCTGGAGTGAAAGCTGCCGGGATGTAGCTTCCTGTTATAATGAAAGTTATTGCAAAGGAAGTTTAAAACCAGTGGTTTAACTCTGTTGGATGCGAGGCAATGTGTACAGATGCAGATTGTCACTAACCCTTGTGCAGTCAAGAGTTAACTGTTTTCTAACCCATTCGCTTCTGTATGTGTTTATTTTCTTTAGTCCTTAACATCTGGATATGTGCAGGGAACGTTTGAAATGGCAAATAAGGAAGAGAACAGGGAGAAAAACAGATATCCCAACATCCTGCCATGTAAGACACTACCTTTTCTTTTCAATCGGAGCATTACCTTTTCTTTTCAATCAGAGCATTACCTTTTCTTTTAAATCAAAGCATTAACTCTGTCACTGTACAGGCTGGTAGCAGTGTTCATTTGCTGAAAATGTTGAAGTAATGCAATTTCACTGTTCACAAACGTTCTTCATACACTGTTTTGTGGCATGTCTCGGGTACTGATCTTCTCCTGTTAGGTTTTACTATAGTGGTTATCAGGTGCTGTGCTATAAAGCTCTCACAGGATTCTACCAGAATACACTGTCAAGTGGATATTTTAGGATCTCAGTTTAGTTTGGGGTGAGCAAACATGGAGAAGTTTGGGCTTCCAGTATTATGGTGACAGTGACCTCCAGGTTCGGAGCAAAGCAAGATGTTTGGGGTGAAAGTTTCTTGATGAGAACTAGCGACAATAGAGGAGAGAGCTGTTTTGAGACGTGTGTGCTTAGCCTGGCCTCCTGCTAGCAGGTAAATAACATATTTCAGATTCATAAACATGGAAACATGCTTGTAATATGTTTTCCTACAGATGATCATTCCAGAGTTATTTTGAGTCAAATCGATGGAGTCCCACCTTCAGACTACATTAATGCATCATATATAGATGTAAGTTGACAGCCGTCCACTGTTGGTCACACTGCAAACTGTGGCCATGAATTAAATAATAGATCCTGGAATAGTTTGTGTTGAAGGGACCTTAAAGCTCATCCAGCTCCAACCCCTGCCACGGGCAGGGACACCTTCCACTCGAGCAGGTTGCTCCAAGCCCCTGTGTCCAACGTGGCCTTGAACACTGCCAGGGATGGGGCAGCCACAGCTCCTCTGGGCACCCTGTGCCAGCGCCTCAGCACCCTCACAGGGAAGAGCTTCTGCCTCAGAGCTCATCTCGGTCTCCCCTCTGGCAGGTTCAAGCCATTCCCTTTGTCCTGTCACTCCATCCCTTGTCCAAAGACAATCTCCAGGTTTCTTGTAGCCACTTTAGGCACTGGAGCTGCCCTAAGGTCTCCTCAGGCTGCTACATCCCATCCCATCCCCCAGACCCAACTGAAAAATAACTATTTCTCTGCTAGCCTGTGTTGACATTTCATCTTCTAACTATTCTGATTTCTTTTTCCATAGGGTTATAAAGAAAAGAATAAATTTATCGCAGCACAAGGTAATTTATTCTCATTTCTCTATTCTGTACATCTTAGGGCTGAGCATATTTAAGTTTAGATGTGTTTTAAAGGTTAATTTTGGCTGCAGATTTTGGCCAAGTGTGAGGTGGGATATAGCGGTTACAGTTGAAATCAAATTGCAGTCAGTGTGGGGTAACCCACTGCCTGCAGACCCTCAGATACTCTGAGCAAAGCCTTCTCCCTTTCAACCCCACTTTGCTTCTCTTAAAAACTGATGTCTCCTGATCTGCATTCTGTTTAGGTGATCCTGCTACTAGAAACGAGCATTTACACATGAATTCTTGTGCCATATTTAGTAATAAGTCTGGGGAATCCCAGACACAAAGCAGTAGCTGCTCCTGCCCTTCAGATATCACCGAATCCCAGACTGGTTTGTGTTGGAAGGGACCTTAAAGCTCCTCCAGCTCCAACCCCTGCCACGGGCAAGGACACCTTCCACTAGAGCAGGTTGCTCCAAGCCCCTGTGTCCAACCTGCCCTTGAACACTGCCAGGGATGGTTCCTGTCCTGCACAGCAGGACGAGCAGCTCTCACATAGTGGTTCACTGTGGTCACAGGTAATGCTGGACCTTGGCGCAGGGGAGAGAGCTGCAAAGTGGAAATCCTAAATGGATGCTTCCGTCATGGTCTGTTACAAAAGAGTGTATTTCAAGAGAGAAGATACCTGCTACCCTAACTATTCTATGTGCTTCTGTCTGCAGGACCTAAGCAGGAAACAGTTAATGATTTCTGGAGGATGATATGGGAGCAGAAGTCGGCCGTTATAGTCATGTTAACCAACCTGAAAGAAAGGAAAGAGGTAAAGAGCTTTGCTTTGCTCTGAGATGTCTCTAGGAGAGCGTGCTCCGAAAGCAGTCTCGCCTTTCTGACCACTTCCTTCTCCAGCCCCTGTTAGCACATCGGAGTTTCTGCTCATACACGTAGTTTTCATTTCCAAAATACAAATCTAACCAAACTGATCTCAAGGAAACAATCCCAATAGCTAATTTTGTCCCCCATAGCCCATAGCCAAAGGCAAATTCTCATGCCTGTGCTTTTGTCACACCATAAGGCTGTGCTTGTGGGTGGGTTTGGTTGGAAACGAAGATAAAAACTGTGTTCATTTTCCTGAGCATTATATTTCAAATACTTTCTGGCACATGCACAAAACAAACCCAAAGCTACTGCTTTATGAGAGCGATGCTGTTCCTTCCTGTCCCCCCATTTCTCCTCATATGCATCTTGCTGCTCACGTTGTGTGACACTTTCTACTGGCTCAATGCTGAGACACACGCACAAGTGTGAAACATTGAACTTTGTTCCTGGTTCACAGACTTGAGAAGCTAAGTGAAAATATTGAGGAAATGTGCCACAAGAAACATTAAAGATACTCTTTAATGATTTCCTTTTCTCCTGGGGGACAGTTTGGCACAGTGAGCATGCTGCATCCTGATTTGAAATACATCTGAACTCACCAAAAACTTAGGCTGTAGGAAGAACACTTGTTTCCCAAGTGGTTGTGGGAATGGGAGGAGGCAGAAGCTACCCAGTACTGGAAAGCTGGACTTCTCTTACTCCTCAAGGGTGACTCCTCCTGCCAGTGGAGAAACATGGGGATAAGCAGCAGTAGTTGGCCTTGGAAAGGAGATGGGGATGCGGTTTTGAGATATTAGAGAATCATATCGTGGTGTGAAAGTTGGTCTTTGTACCTATTTTATGCATTTTTTTACAGTAACAAAAGAGTAGAGCAGATGCCATCAGCTCACCACAGTCATGAGGTCGGGTGTTCCTTGTCTGCCTCTTCACAGTGGTACTTCTGCCTGGTTTTACTATTGCTCGAGGAAGCTCAAACAGTAAAGCAGTCCATAAGAAGAGCCCATTCCCAGTATGAGAAGCCAGAGCTGTTAAATCTGGATATTCCAAATAAGGACTGCCCTGCATTTTTCACTGACTACACCTAGAAATCAGAGCCAATACATCACAGTCCCCGTGGTTAGGCACCTCCTAACAAAAAACCCAACACAACCCAAAAGCTGTTTAGGTCTGGCTAGGTTAAAACCAACTTCAAAGCTATTCTCACTTTCTCTGCATAAATTCAAGCATCAACAGCACTAGGAAAGTGTTCAAGTTGTGTTGTGCCAGATGAGAAACTCTGCATAACCGTATTCATACTTACATACCCTATCTTCATTGTTGTAAGAGTAACCAACAATGAAAGCAGACTTATTATTAATGTCACTGTGTGTTTGAACAGGAAAAATGTTATCAGTACTGGCCTGACCAGGGGTGCTGGACTTATGGAAATATCCGTGTGTCCGTGGAAGATTGCATAGTTCTGGTGGACTACACCATCCGCAAGTTCTGTGTTCAGTCAGTAAGTACAGACAATGCTCCTGCTGGGTCTTTGTTTTCATTCGTAAGGGAAGTTGTTATGATGTCAAATACTTGCTCAAAAGAAATTCAGGGAGTTGGGGTGCCTGAAGAAGCTGTGGCTGCCCCAGCCCTGGCAGTGTTGTTTGGGTTGGAAGGGTTTCCATGGTTTGCGTTGGAAGGGACCTTAAAGTTCCTCCAGCCCCAACCCCTGCCACAAGCAGGGACACCTTCCACTAGAGCAGGTTGCTCCAAGCCCCTGTGTCCAACTTGGCCTTGAATAATCTATGGTAATTTTACTCTGTGTTTGTATTTTACATACGCTGTAAACTTCTAATCCTTGAGTCAGGCTCAAGGTGTTGCAGGAGTTAAAGTCACAAATAACCATAGCAGTTTGTTTATAAGCCTTTGTATGAAAAATGAAGTGTCAAACTTGAGCTCTGTGTGTCCCCTGCAGCTTCATGATGGTTGCAAAGCTCCAAGGCTTGTTACACAGCTTCACTTCACCAGTTGGCCTGATTTTGGGGTGCCTTTCACTCCTATCGGGATGCTGAAATTCCTGAAAAAGGTTAAAACATTGAATCCTGCCCATGCTGGACCCATTGTGGTTCACTGCAGGTACGTGCATGCTCTTCAGACCATTCTCTTAGCTTGGTCCGGAGTTATGTGTGTAATATCGAGGCTAAATTGTAATCTGCTCATAGGCTGTGGAGTGTGTTTGTGTATGTGTATGTTTATGTATTTGCTTACATAGTTATATATGTAAAGGGCAATATAATATATATATATATATTATAATATACTGAGCTTTTTGAGAGCCCAGGCTAAAAACCATCTCAAAAGATCTTTGCTATCACTTTAATACTCAAACAGAAGTTGTTGTTCCATTGTTTGTTTCTTTTTATCCATGAGTGATATCCAGTGTTCGGTGTAAATATGTTCCTTTGTCAGAAAAACAAGACTTGGAATAGAACTCTGTGACCTTTGCTACTAACCGCTCCTCTGAGAATTCATCCCCCACTTCTCCCACAATAAACTTGCAGTTTGCTGTGTAAATCATTCGTTAAGTGCCTGGAAAGTCTGGAAGAAAGACTTGCATTTAAGAGGCTTCAATGCTGCAATTTTAAGAATGTCCTACATAGCAATGCAGAACATATTCCCACTCACTCGGTCACACACACACATGAACATCCTGTTATTAAAGACTTGTGCTAAACTGTTTGAATTCTTGTGGTAATGAGACCACAAACTAACTCCAAATCAGTTTTAAGAGACTAATTGCAATCTCTATAGCAACTGCAGCAAGCTCACAGCTGAGCAAGAAGTGTCTTTTCAGGAGCAATTATCATAGAATAAAAATTAGCTTCATCTTTCTGGGTCTTGTTTTAAGGGAATGGTTGTAGATTCCTGTATTTTGTCTCTTTTTTTCTCTTGCTTGTGTTGATCACCCAGAAATTCACTCTGAGAGTCCTTGAAGTGTGTTCTATAGAAAAAGAACATGTTTGTCCTGGCCAAGCCAGCCATTTTGTTTCTCCATTTCCATCCAGATCTCATCTTCTCCCCCAGGTGTCATATATAAGAGGCTTAAAGAAAAGCATTAAATGGGAAAAGGGGATTTTAGTAGCCTCACATAGTCTTTCCTTTGAGAAAGCCACAATGTTTTTCAATCCTTTTACCGTGATGTTTTTTGGAGACTCATACTGGGCTTGAGCTTTATTTTGCACCCGCAGGAAATTCTGTACTAAGTTTAATTAGCAGAAGTAGAGGCAAAATAAAGGAAAATATAATAAATCTCAACAAAATCTGCAGAGATTTAAATATAATGAAATCTAATTGTCCAACGGGGCACAGCAGCACTGCTGCCATGTGTCCGTGCTGGGGCTGGTGCAGTGCTTCAGCCTGTGTGAGGAATAAAGGACCTGAGAGGTGACACTTCGTTTCCGTTACGGCTCAGGATGTGACACTGTTGAATTGTTGAGAAGAGGAAAGGGAAACTCATCGAGAGTGAGTAACCATCCATTTTTAGTGAGCCTTTATACAAACATCACCCAGAAACTGCTCAAGCGGAGCCTCTTGGAAGTTGATAAAACGCTAATTTAGCATTTGGAAGTAGCAAAGAACAGATAAAATGGGGGAAACCAGGATTTTCTGCCAATTTTTTTCCTGGAAGTTTTCAGGAATACATCTTTTGAGTGAGCAGAGAGCCACGTTGAGGAAGAGCTGAGGAAGGGATCCCCCAGAGTAGGCTTAGGATGGATAAAAGGGAACTTGCAAGCAAATGTCAAGGTTGGTGAAACTACCAGCTTAAGCAGGAGCATGCAAGGATTGAATTAAGTGCTGAGTGGAAGTCAGGTAACCCTGGGGCAGAGACACGGAGGGGGAACAAGGTGTGTGAAAAGGGATTGTGTCTGTAACAGGAAAAGATGTGAGGAAGCTGAGTGTGTGGATTAGTGTGTAAGAGCTCACAACAAAGGACAAGTGTGAGCTGGCGATGGGTGACCCATGCTCAGAGGTGGCTCCAGGACACATCAGGAAGAGGAAGATCTCTGTAAGCTGTGAGTCAACACAGCAGGACTTGAGGTGAACTCATGCATGGTGACAGAGGTCAAACATGAATTAAAGGAAGCGAGAGGGCAGGGAGCTTTGGCCACCATGGGGTGGGAGCTGCAGTGGCCCCTGGTCCGTGGCCACAGAGGGGCTGGGGAGAAGGTGTTTGTCAGTGCTGGATTGGGATGTGGCTGGGCAAGGAGAGTCAGGAGCCTGCCAAACCCATCATTAAACACAGAGGGATGTGGAGGTTATAGTGGGGTTGTTGCCTGTGAAGAAGTTGTGTGAAGTCTTGGTGGAGGTTTCCATGGGTACTACATGGGTTGGTTCATCTCCTTCAGATGTCTGGAACAGGAAGGCCTGGCAGTGGTGGTTTCATGTGGCATTTGCTCTTAATTCAAATGTACACATATATAATTTAAGTCATTTTGTCCATGCACTAACTTTTTTCTGGTGTTACTTAAAACCTAACATTTCCCTGCTGAGAACTGATCAGTGTCTTTGAGCACACTTTGGTCGTGTTTCGGAAGGTGTCTGTGGACATCGCATCTGTTGCTGTACCAAGTGAGCTAACAGGAGGTTACAGGAGAGCTATTAATGCCCAGCACAGGATGCCATGCCCTTTTCCTCTGAAAGGAAGAGCTGAAAGTCGCTGGGGTGATGTGATTTATAATGATCGTGCTCCCTCTCGTGGCTCTTGAAGGATATAAAAGGAGTTGGGGATGGCGGAGTTTAGTGTGGACCTTGTACCAAGTAGCTGTTACCTAAGTAGCATGAAAAAGCAGCCAAGAAAACAGCTAAAATTCAAGACAAATGTTTAAAATTTAAGACAAATGTTTAAAATTCCATCTTTGACTGAATTATTTCAGCTGGTCAAGCAGATTTTTTTCCCCCAAGGTCTTTTCTAATATAATCCTGATTTCATCCTTTCTGAGCTGTTAAGAGGTGACTTTTTATGTTAAAACCTTACCTCTTTTTTGCTGTCCTCGTTACAATAATGAAATGTTGTGTTTCAGTCCAGTGTAAACAATATAAACTCTATCTGTGCCACTGCTATTGCAATTCCTGCAGACTTGGTAGTTCCACAGAGGTTTATGGTGGTTTCTGTTCCCTTCCCAAGCGCTGGCGTGGGCCGCACGGGCACGTTCATCGTTATCGATGCCATCATAGACATGATGCACGCGGAGCAGAAGGTCGATGTCTTTGAGTTTGTCTCAAGGATCCGTAACCAGCGGCCGCAGATGGTTCAGACTGACGTAAGTGGCCTGTAATCAGCTGGGATCACAACTTTTCCTGCTCAAAGAGGAATATGTGCCTGTATTTCCACTCCGATACGCATCCCAGTATGTCCTGCTCTGTTGCACACCTGGATAACTGGGAATTGAACAAGGCCCAGTAGAAGGATGGGGTTGGGGAGGAAGATAAAGGCATGTTAGTGCTGTGAAGATCACCGGGAGGCACGTCATCTTTAGGTATCATCTCCAGGTTTGCCCATGCACATGAGAGTGGAAGTTTAGGGAATGCGAGTTATAAACAGGAACACTCTATTTTAGCTTAAGGTATATTTTGACAATTAGTAGATTGCAGACCAACGGAGATAGATGGCAGTGCCAGAATTCATAGTTTTACTTCCATGCTTTGCACTGTGCTTACCTGCCTCTTTGTTCATTCCAGATGCAATACTCCTTCATTTACCAAGCCTTACTTGAATACTACCTCTATGGTGACACGGAGCTAGATGTGTCCTCCTTAGAAAAACATCTACAAACATCACACAACGCGGCGCCAAACCTTGTCAAAATAGGGCTAGAAGAGGAATTTAAAGTAAGTGTGACGGCCCTTTGCCAGAGGATTAGTTGAGTGTGGGTACATGTAAGCCCAAAAGACAGTTCAGAAACAGAAGTGTAACCTTAAGAGGAAAAGGTCCATCAAAACAATGACTTGGTTTGTTTTGTGCTTGTAGTGAATGGGTCCTGCAGAGCCAGTGAATGGGGCCTTGAATAACATCCTGTTCTGCAAATGCTCATTCAAAACTGAATCGGTTTAGGGCACTTTTCTGATAGTTTTCCGTTTGTTTATGAAAGAAAAATGGCATTATTCTTTGGGTCTGGTGCTGGATGCCAGATCAGATAACGCTGGAAGAGGGAGCTGGATTACGGGCACCTGATTTGCATCTCAAGGGGAATGTTAACACAGGGATGACTGACAGCAGAAAGAATTGCAGAGAATTCACGCGTCTTGTGCTGAATATCCATGTCCGTCAGGAAAGGGAAGGAAAATCAGCATTTCTGGTTAGTGGAGAAAGCCCAAATGCAGAGAGCGACCACGCTGGCTGTTTGTGATAGTGTTTTAAAATGGACTTTTTTGTCTGAGGAAGTAGTTAGAACTTTTCTAGGGCTCCTGCTATGCTAAAATACTAATTCTATATATAGGTGTAAAGCATTAAATGACACATAGGTGTTTACTGGAGTTAGGATAGAATCATAGCATCATAGAATAGGTCTTGCTTACCTTTAAAGAATTGATCAGATATTGGGATTGGGAAAAGAAGATGATGTAAAAATAAATGTAAGAATAAGTCTGATGATACAGCAACAAGTTCAAAACTCAGAAGTATTGATATGAAGGAAAGCAGCGAATGAAAAGATCAAGTATTCTACTTTTTCCAGCATTCCTAAGTTGGGGTTTGCTGTCACTGTGCCAACAAGGCTGCATTGAAGTGCAGAGAGCAACCTTTAGCTCTGGTGTGTATTCTGAAAAGCACTTAGATGGTCCAGGAGCGCTGGGCCCACCTGCACCCAAAAAGAGGGGAGCTGTGTTGTCACCACTATGACAGTGTCTGACATAAAGTCTACTGGACACTCTATTGCAGAGTAGTCAAGAAACACCTGCCTCAGAGGGTAGGGGTTTCTTTTTAATAGTGTGTTGCTGGTACTAGAGACTTACTGAAATTGCGATAGGCTTCTGAAAGCCACACTTAGGTGGTCCAAAAATGTCTTAACCCCCTGCCAAAAAATCCAGACAGACCTGAAATGGTAAAACCCACTGTATTTTACAGCCCTTAAACTTTATTGGTAAGTCCTGGGAGTACATTCAGATTCTTCAATATCAGTATGAAAAAAATTACATGACTTATTCTTATTTAATTTTTCTAGACAAGACAGTGAAGTGGGTTTTGTGCCAGGTCAGTGTGGATTTGACTGTGTTCTTGTTTTGTACCTGATATAGACACTTAGGAGCCCTCTTGAGTACTGAGTCTTGTGACCGAGAACCACATTGGGTTCTCATCCTCATTTGTGTGTTTTATTGCAGAAGTTAACAAACGTTCGAATAATGAAAGAAAACATGAGAACTGGCAATCTTCCAGCAAACATGAAGAAAGCCAGAGTCATCCAGATTATCCCATGTAAGAGGTGGACTTCTTAGATATAGAAATAAGTGCTATAAATACCCGATCACCCTTAGGCTGTCATGAGTGCAGACTCTATCTGTACATTGACAATAACACAGCTCTGTTGGGATAACTCCAGAGCAGAGGTTCTGCCCAGATTTAGAAACTGGAATCCTGCAATTAATTACTGTGTATATAGTATCATGGAATTGATTTGTGTTGGAAGGGGCCTTAAATCTCATCCAGTTCCAACCCCTGCCACGGGCAGGGACACCTTCCACTAGAGCAGGTTGCTCCAAGCCCCTGTGTCCAACCTGGCCTTGAACACTGCCAGGGATGGGGCAGCCACAGCTTCTCTGGGCACCCTGTGCCAGCGCCTCAGCACCCTCACAGGGAAGAGCTTCTGCCTCAGAGCTCATCTCAATCTCCCCTCTGGCAGGTTCAAGCCATTCCCCTTGTCCAAAGCCCCTCTCCAGGTTTCCTGGAGCCCCTTTAGGCCCTGGAGCTGCTCTCAGGTGTCCCCTTCAGGAGCCTTCTCTTCTCCAGCTGCCCCAGCCCAGCTCTCTCAGCCTGGCTCCAGAGCAGAGCTGCTCCAGCCCTTGCAGCAGCTCCGGGGCCTCCTCTGGACTCGCTCCATCAGGCCCACATCTTAATGTGAAAAAGTTTGAAGGTCTCTGCCTGTAAAATGGAAATGTAGAGTGGCAGGTTTTGGTTTTGCTTAATTTTTAGCCAGAACACATTTTTGAGGTGTTTCCATTTGCCATCCCCTTGTTTGTTGTTCTCTGCAGTTTTACTTGCTCTGAATTTCTACAGAATGTCCTGATGCAAACAGCGTCTTCTCCTTTCAATGTGCAATGTCCTTATAAAGTGTCACAAACAGTTGAATGAACTGGGTTTTACGCTATCAGTATAAATTGTGTTACCATCAGGTATTTTTCAGGGCTGAATTCAATAATTCAGCAGCTTCACCTTCTAAACCAAGGTATTTCTGTGTGATTCCATGCATAGTCTGGAGCAGCACTGTGATGTCTGCACCTGAAAATGAACGTTTCAGACCTGGCCATATCCTGCGCGAATGGAAAAGCAATAGCAGAAAAACTAGTGCCCTCCTCCTGCTCCACACACTTACTAAATCCTGGAGAGGAGCTTTGAGACACCCTTTGGCTTTCAGATAAAAGATGTTGTTGGGTTTGCTCTCTCATAGATGGCAGCATGGGGCAGTCAGTACCCAGTTATAAAAAGTAAGACCTTTTTTTCTCCTTTCAGATGATTTTAATCGAGTGATTCTGTCCATGAAAAGAGGGCAAGAGTACACGGACTACATCAATGCTTCCTTCATAGATGTGTGTATCCAAAACCTAATGTATTTAAACTGCAAGTCAGATATTTTGCTGTTGCTGATAAATCTTTTTAAAGAGGCACAATTAGCTTATGAAGAACATTACCTGTTTTGTTTAGGTTTGGCTTAGGGGAGTGTCCAAATACATTTCTTGTCTGGTGTTCTCGGTTTCAGTTTAAATGATTGTGTAATTGAAACATTCTGTTTATTTATAAGGCTGTTATTTATTGGATCTGTTATATAGTTAGGGTTAGCATCCTTTTGTGAAATCTGTTTGGTTACCTATAGCTGCAGAATTTCATCCCTTCGGCCATGACTGTAAAAAGTCATAGAATCATAGAATAGTTTGGGTTGGAAAGGACCTTAAGATCATCCAGTTCCAACCCCCTGCCATGAGCAGGGGACACCACACACTAAACCATGTCACCCAAGGCTCTGTCCAGCCTGGCCTTGAACACCTCCAGGGTTGGAGCATTCACAACTTCCTTGGACAACCCATTCCAGTGCCTCACCACCCTCACTGTGAAGAACTTCTTCCTTAGATCTAACCTAAACTTCCCCTGTTTAAGTTTAAACCCATTACCCCTTGTCCTACCACTAGAGTCCCTAACGAAGAGTCCCTCCCCAGCATCCTTGTAGGCCCGATAAGTTATATGACACAGCTTGGGATTGTGAATTTGGGTGACTTTTTCCTGCTTTTCTGGCAAGAAGCAAGACTTGGGAGGGCTCTGTGTCAGCAGGTTTGTAGTAACCATCACGTTGTTGAGCAGCGTAGCTGATGGAAGCACCGGTTTAAGTACCGATCGTGTCGCTGACCATTATCTCCACCCCTCTCGAGCTCAAATGTCACGACATAAATGGGTCCTGGGCTCTCTCCACAGGGCTATCGCCAGAAAGATTACTTCATTGCCACCCAGGGACCCCTTCCACACACGGTGGAGGATTTCTGGCGGATGGTGTGGGAGTGGAAGTGCCACACCATTGTTATGCTCACAGAAGTGCAAGAGAGGGAGCAGGTACGTGCCCCGCGGCCCCAGCTCCACAGCAGAGCAGTCGCTGTTATCACCTCTAACGTATAAGCATTAAGATTTGATCAACTTCTTGTTGCCTGCCGGCTCTGGTGGTAGGAGATTATTTGGTATTGCTGCTTTTGCTTGAATTGTCGGAAACCCACCAAAATGACTGAAAATGATGGGTTTGGAAAGGGACTAGTTCACATTAAAAACATTAGATTTATGGGGGTGCCTGAGATGGAATAGCCATGTGGGATTTGGGAACAGCTGGACAAGGCTTTTGTGAGGACTTCCCTCCCTGTTCTACCAGTAGAAGCTCCAATGGCTTATTCTGAACCTCTTCTAGTACATCATTAATCAATAGAGGGAGTCCTGTAACACCTCTTGTATACTGTAGTTTGAAGACTCAGGGTGTTTTAGTGCTGTTTAATGTGCTTTGTTAGTGGTTTCAGGAGGGTTTTTAACAACATTACACTGCTTTCGGGAGTTAATGTTTTTACTCTAATCTGTTTCCAAGCAGTATTTGGCATTTGACTCCCAAGCCCTTATTGTCATAATGGTTTGTAATATAGAAATATCTCATTCCTGTATTCTTGGTTATTAGCCTTTTCATTACACTGCTTAGGACACGTTTGTTATGCTCTATGTCAGCCCCTATATCAGAGATTCGTGACAGGCTGGTTAAGCAGAAAAAAACAAGGGACATTTACAATTCTCTCTCAATTTTGCAGGAAAAATGCTGCCAGTACTGGCCATCGGAGGGCTCTGTGACTCATGGAGAGATAACGGTAGAAATCAAGAATGACAGCCTGTTAGATGCCATAAGTGTAAGGGACTTCGTAGTTACATACAACCAGGTAATGTTTTTATATGACACGAAGGGGTGTTTTGCATTTGAGGCATTTAAAATTATGATTATGCTACTTCAATTGTGGGATTTCTATGTAAAGATAAATGTGGTTAATCAACATCTGGCATTGCATCAGCCAAGGGGAAGCTTATATGAAACATCATTGCTTAAAGCCCCGTACTTGTTCTGGTCAGTAGAAGATGTCTTTGATCAAAGTTCCCTTGTTTTGGGTTTTTATATCTTGTTGCTGCTGTTACTCTTGTATTTTCTACCCTCTCCCACAATATAAAGGCAAATTGGATTCCAGATTTTTAAATCCTATGGAGCCTTTCACAGCACGTGGACCTGCCTCTGCCTGCCAGCTCGTCCTTTATGTGTCCCTGCTATAGGCATGATCAACTCAAACTGATTTTTGATCTTTTGGGCACACATCTCCTCACTTCCTGCATTATTTCTATAGGATCTGATCTGCAGTGCTGGTTTTTGGAGGGGGGAAAAAGAAGATTAAAAGAATTTGAGAATATAATTCATTTAACTACTTATTGCGCTGCACTTAGAATTTAAACACATGCAAAGCAAAAGGACGTTGCATTTAAAGTACTCTGTATTTCCTTCTGAAGGAGGTGGTGGATCAGGCGTGAGCACACACCACGCTTCACAAGGCAGAGTCTTTGTTGACTTCTGGCATATTGGAAAGTATTTAAACCTCAAGTAACAGCATTTTAGATAATATCCAAGGAGAAATGCCTTTGCACCTTAAACCTGTGTCATTAGAAGTGTTTGCTGCTGCAGCTCTAAGAAATCCGAGTGACTTTTGTATAGTGCCCATTGACTACATCAATGATATTTGAAGCAATGCTATGTTAAAAGACCTCCTGCAGAGCTGGGGGGAAGGAGGCCTGACCAAGCCTTTTTCCTCATTATGGTGACATTTTCCAGGCTTCCCCTGTCCTGAGACTTCCCATCAAACTCATTCACCAAATATGCACAGTGGTGGACATGCTGAAAGCACCAAGCATCAGCAGAGATCTCATGTTTGCAAGAGTTAGAACCATAGAGTGATTTGGGCTGAAGGGACCTTAAAGCTCACCCATTCCAGCCCCCTGCCACGGGCAGGGACACCTTCCACTGGAGCAGGTTGCTCCAAGCCCCTGTGTCCAACCTGGCCTTGAACACTGCCAGGGATGGGGCAGCCACAGCTTCTCTGGGCACCCTGTGCCAGCGCCTCAGCACCCTCCCAGGGAAGAGCTTCTGCCTCAGAGCTCATCTCAGTCTCCCTCTGGCAGGTTCAAGCCATTCCCCTTGTCCTGTCCCTCCATCCCTTGTCCAAAGCCCCTCTCCAGCTTTCACGCAAAAGTTTAAGGTAAAAGTGAGTTTCCATTTTGAAGTAACCACGGGATAAATGTGGTGTTTTTCTGCACACAGGGTAACCAGGAGAAGCAAAGCAGGCTCGTCCGGCAGTTCCATTTCCATGGATGGCCAGAAATAGGGATTCCTGCAGAAGGAAAAGGGATGATCGACCTGATTGCGGCTGTCCAAAAGCAGCAGCAGCAAACAGGCAACCACCCCATCACTGTGCACTGCAGGTGAGAGTGACCTCTTCTTCCTCTCATCAGCTAAGGGACTGGCTTGCTTTTCCTCTTTCTTTTTCCTTTTCTCAGTGTTTTTACAACAGTTTTCCTCCATGAGGGACTAGACCATATCCATTAAAAGACAATCAATAAAAACTAAGAAAAAAGATAGGGGAAAAAAGAAAATCTAGTATTGCATAAAGGGGTTTTGTCTTGTCCTTTGCTAAATCAGCAGATGGTGATGGTGGACTTGATGGGCAGGAGTAAACAGACTTATTGTTACCTGGGGAGGTTGTAGTTGTGCAGTTGAGCTCTGCTGAATGCTGTGGTTAGGAAAGTAGAGCTGTGAGTGTGTTGTGGTGATGTGTAATACACCCCCCGATACATTGCTCCAGTGTTCGGTCGGGATCAAAATGCTGTTGGTTTATACAGACTATGAGGAGAATTAGCTATTGCCCTGCTCGGAGCTGAAGGCTAAATGTGCTCCTGTCTTTGGAGGCAGAGAGAAAATAATACTTACATTAATGCTAAGAAGCAGCTTGTGTGTCACTTCATACACATCAGCTAGAATGAGCTTTGTCCTGGGCCAGGCTTTTCATGGTGGGGTTTTTTTGTGCTTCCTCCCCCCGACCCGCCACCCTCCTGCATTTTTGCTTTGTTTTCCTTCCTCCCTTCTCTTTTCTTCCCTTCTCTTTTCCTCCCTTCTCTTTTCCT